CCGCTATCTTATTCAGCTACAGAATTCGAAGATCAAACCGTTGTTGTGGATGGCTAGGGCAATCAAAGAGATCCCATTTTCCCTTGAACATGTTGTTTTTTAGTGAGTTTAACGTTCCATGCTAATGATCATTTTCATACAAGACTTACGCACTCACTGGGACTGTGGGACATGTACAGTGGTTGGTGATAACCCATGTGTCAACCACACTTGAAAAATCACAAAGCCAAGGAAGAGGAGGACATCTGATCCACCTTACTTCCAAGCAACAAAAGAATGATCATCGATATATAGAGAATATTGAGTTTGTTCAACATGTATAGTCACTTCTTTCTGTGAATAGCATAGCAATTAATCTCTTGATATTCTTAAACATGAAGTTACAATTATAACGAATTAATTAGAAGTAACTAATATCATGTACGAGTTAACCGTTGAGGCGTCCATTTTATGCGAATCGCATGTTATAGCCCTGACCGTTAGAATGTAGCAACCAAAAACATTAACGCACGCTTAAGATCTTAGTAAACTTCAAGTTCAGCAGTGGACAAATCATATACAGGAAGGATTTTATTTTAAGTTGGTGCTTATAATCTTTATGGCTTAAGCATGCATGCATGCATGAATTGCCTGAAGTAGTTAGAATGTTGTGTTTAATTAACGTTGTGACTACAAACGAAGGAAAAACGGAGTCCCAGTCTGCAGCCACGCATATATTTTCTTCAAATGTCTGCATGGACATTAAGCAGAATTATTTTCATTAATCCCAAATCATAACAACTGCAATAACTCCCACCCCAAGGAACACAGCAACAAACTTGAAGAATGAAGTGTGTCGAAGTACAACTTAGCTTGTGGTTGGAATCCTTTAGCTATGAGATATATGGTTGATGGCGACATAGATAAAAACTCCACATGCAAGTCCCAGAGAGATAGCATAGATCCAACCAGCTGCTTGGCCTTGAGTACGTAGTGGCATCAATGGCAATGCATAAGTGTGTATTGGAGATAACAATGAAGCAATGCATGGATCATTTGATAACACTTGCATATAATTACAAAATCAATAATAGCTCACAAAATCTCACAATTTGGCACGCTAGAAAATAAACCTAAGCACATATTTACAGGAATATGTTTTAATCCTAATTAATGGGGGAAAAAACAGTCACAATGATTTCCATTACTGGCTAAGTTCAAACCAATCCTAACCTTGAAAGAACTCATTGTCAAATCTTTATTAGAATTAACCACATCATAACATAAGGAGATGGGATTCAGACTGATAAAACATCATAGAAGTTACCAAAACTAATATTAACAATGAAATCAAGCTACCAGGTCCAGATTGATTAATTAATAGCTTTCCTATCAGCTAGCTTTTGCTAAATATGGAAGTTGCAAAAGATGTATACTGCAATTCATGAACCAGTGGAAATTCATTAGCGCAGTTCTTTTTATGGCCAAGGATCAACGCAGGTTTGAATTCCAATATTAAAGTTTTTTTTTATTATGGAAATGGTGGTGGGTTTGAATTCCAATATTAAAGTTTTTTTTACTATGAAAATGGTGGTGGTTCAAAATATTTTTTATTTAAAAATATATTAAAATATATTTTTTTATTTTTTTAAAATTATTTTTGATATTAATACATCAAAAGATATAAAACTATAAAAATAAAATTTTATTTTAAAAAAACAAAAAAAAATTAAAATTTTTGGGAGAACCTTCCTCTTCTAGGCAGTGTAGAAAATATAGTTTTTCAAAAAAAATTATTTTTTATATTTTTAAATATTTTTGATATATTAATACCAAAAATAATATTTTTAAATATTTTTGATATATTAATACTAAAAATAATTTAAAATAATAATTTTAATATATTTTTAAACAAAACACAAACCAAGATAAAAATGAAAAAGATTGGGATTAACGAGCCAAGTCGATTGTGCGAGTTCTACCCAGCTGGAGTTTCCCATGGAATTTACATACGATTGGGATAAATTGGTTCCGAGGTTATCAATAAGAAATTGTTTTTTTTTCTTTTTATCATAAGAAAAAATTGATTCTAAATATTTGTAGTGTCTTTAATTATTTTTCAAATATTACATATTTTTATTATTGTTAGAGCATCTTCAAAGTTTTGGAAGAGGCAGGATGATCTGAACTTGAAAACTTGAGATCAAAATCATCATGAATAAGGCCCAGGCACAGACCCATGAACAAATTGGATAGATTTTTCTGAAAAGTAGAGTTCTGAACAAAGAGAGGTAAAAAGATGCAAAAAAAAATCCAAGGAAATCAAGATGTGGTTATCCACATCCTTGTCCTGACATTAAATGGCTGCCACATGCTTCCACTACATTGTAACCCAAAACCTCTTTTATCCACACCAACATTAAAGGCAACAGCTAATTTGTATAGTGTCATCGAGTTAGCAAAAATGGACATAACTACACAGTCTCTTTCCCATGTCAAGCTTCCAGGGTGCTCAACTTCTCTCGCAACACCAATCTTTCATTCCAAAGCCTCACTTCTTGCCCATAATTCAATCATATTTCAGTCTCCTAAGAACTTTTTCACACAGCTACAAGGTGTTAGGATTAAAGCAAAGAAGCAAAGGAGTCTTGGTGCTGTACATGCTTCTGGGGCTGAGAGCACTTTGACTGATGTTGAAGAAAGATGGCTTCTTGTACCCGTTGGTTAGTGAGTTCTGTTTTTCTTTCAAGAATCGATGATTGATGAAAATTCCTGTTCAACACATAAATGAGATTTAAGTTGCAATTAGTGATCATGTAGTTTGTTGCCCAATCTGAAGCAAACAATGCTGTACCTAATGTGAATTACAGGTGATGGGGATTCAGGGCATATAGGTTTCAAGGTTAAAATGCCAGATGCATTTGAAATAGCTTCTGTGAGTGTCTCTATTCCCTGTTCATGGTCATTGAATTTTACTCGAACATACACCAATTAACAAGAACCTTCAATTTTCTTCCATTAATCCAGAGTGAAGTTACTGTTGGCCGCCTCCCCGATAAGGCAGACATGGTGATTCCAGTTGCAACAGGTGTTGGTTCAACCTGTCTGTGAATTGCTTCAACCAACTTTTGACTTCCCTTATTAATGTCATGCTGATTTGAACAGTGTCTGCTCTACATGCTCGCATTCAGAACAAGGGAGGAAATCTTGTGGTCACAGATTTGGACAGTACTAATGGAACATTCATCGATAAGAAACGGCTGCCACCTGGAGCTTCTGTCAGTGTATCGCCTGGAAGTCGTATTACATTCGGTACAAACTCTAACTAGATATACTATTTTCTCCCGTGTTTCTGCATAATTATTGTAGTGCAGTATATATCTTTTATCCATGTTCTTTATTCTTGAGTTCTGAACTATGTCTGACCAGTATTAAATATAAAGTGCTCTCTTTTTGGTTTGACAACCATGATTAGTTGTGATAAAGTGCTCTCTTTTTGGTTCTTAAATCTCTTCATACATCATAATATGAGGTTATGCAGAGAAACTAGTTGAACAACTTAGATCATTGCGGCAAACTGAAAGTTTTGACATTTTGATTGTTCGACGCAAAATTCAGTTCCCCTTCATCTCAACCAGTAGTATGAAAAAAATTGTTAGTCAGCCTAAAATTGAAACTTGAACTTTAAATCTGCGTTCTCTTTTGCTATTGTGATGTTATGATGTGGAACGTCTAGCAGACAGTTGCATTTAACAGATACGTCTATGAGTTCAGGGTTGTAACCTAGGGATTGAGAAACCATGATTTTATATCTTTTGCCATACGCTAAGTCATTTTACTCTTAAAACCAGGTCAAAACTTGAGTGAGTCCAGAGAGCTGCTGAGCTTATAATCTTGGAACCTATGAGCTGCATAGGATATATAACTTGTATTCATGAATCTCACTTGGTATTCATCGAAGTTTCTATTAGAATTATGTGCATATCAACAAATAGGCATTCATATGTTGTTGTAAGATCAGTTTCAGCTGAGCATATGTAACCTAAGCAAAGTTCTTGAGACATGATTCTGCATTTGATTTGAAAATGTCGGTGCAACGGTTCAATGCCTGAATCCTGAAGTTCCATTATCATTTGCTCATGTCCGATTTCTTTTGTTTCAGGGGACACTCATCTGGCAATGTTTCTTGTCTCCAAGCTTGCCAAAGTAGAATCTGCTCCAAGCAAATCAGAAGAGTCTCAAGACGAAGTTGAGATTGGTAGCGCAACTGAGAGCAATGAAACCACGGATTAAAAATCAGAGTTGTATTTGTAAAAGAAATATAGTTGGAGGACGAGCAAGAGAAAATTTCAATGCTATGAATTGAATTTCTCTCCAATTTTCTCTCCAAATTCGTTTAAGAAATAAAATTTATATATCCTACTTCACTTTTCTCATTCCAGTGTTCATACTTATTTTTTTTCTTATTTTTCAACACAACTTAGTTAACCACAATTATAACTTAGCTAACCGTTGTTACATAAAAACCTATTTTTTTTATATATATATAAAATAAAGGTTAAATTAACTGAGATCATTTAATGAAAAACAAAGACACTAATATCAGTTGAGCTGAACATATACTGATTTTTTCTTAATCACAAAAATATTATTAGAGAAACCCACTCTATATTTTTATATATAAAAAAAAAAACAAGGAGTCAACAAAAGTAAAGAGATTAGCATATAGATTTTCAAAATCCAAGCATTAAATAGCAATCAAAATCTTATGTAATCTTGCTTTAGAAATTTCACTTATGAGTTTTATTTTTCATTTTTTTTATATTATCACATGAGACAATAGGAAAAATGAAAAAAAGGTGCATTTTCCATTATGAACTTTTTAGTTTTTAGGAACTATATAATAAAGAATAATAATTGAAGATTTTAAAGTATAAGGATGATAATGGAGTATTGGTAAATCTATACGGTCAAAATGTATTTTACCCTTAACAGTATCTAAAATTCAATGCTTTGGAGCTCTTATCATATGTAGCAAGGACTTTGGAAAATATCTCATGCACCCATATAAGTACCTCCATGAGCCAGTCCTACCTGAATCCACCAAACAGCCAAAATTTTACTGAGAAGGGAAGAGAGAGGCAAAAACTTGTCCCTTTGAAGCAAAAACACTCTCTCTCTTCCTGTTGGATCCAAAATGGAAATTTTTCAGTCTCATAGAGTGGAAATGATAAGCATTGCTGTGGCTCTTGTTGCCATTGGTGCAGGCACTGCTTTTTATTTCTACATCACCAAGAAGCCTAAAGGTATTTTATTTTATTTTATTTTAGTATCTGGGTTTTTGTTCTTTTTGCAGATTGTTTATAAAGTTTGAAGCTTTTTTGTTTTTTTCAGTGGGTCTAATTATTATGTGTTAGGAATGCTCAAGTTTTCAAATTTATCAGCTGTTTGATTAATTTTGGTGCAAAAAGAGAAGAATCCATTTGTTGGGATTGGAGATTGTCTAGAATTACTAGCAATCTTAGCTTCTTATGATTGGTAAATGCAGAATTGCTTATCTTGGCTATGGAGTCAAAGCTTAAAGCTTTGTGGATATAAATCAGGATTTGTGCAAATTGATTAATGCCTTGTCATGTCTTGATAGGTTGCTTGGACCCTGAAAATTTCAAGGAATATAAACTTGTAAAGAGAACCGAACTGAGTCATAATGTGGCCAAGTTTAAATTTGCTCTTCCCACACCGAATTCAGTTTTGGGACTGCCAATTGGACAACATATGAGTTGCAGGTTCGCTTTGTCTTGAATTTCTACCATAGCGAATGCCTGATTGGCGAATTCCATTTTTTTGTGTTCAGTTGGCTGATACGATGAATAACTAAACTAACCTTTTGTTATCAACAGGGGACAGGATAGTGTCGGTGAAGAAGTTGTCAAGCCGTATACCCCAACAACGTTGGATTCTGATATTGGATACTTTGAACTAGTTATAAAGGTTGATTGATTCTCGGCTGTACTGTTCGTTCATTCCATTATGATATTGCAAAAATAATATTTTGGTTTGTCATCCCGATTTCGTTGTTTCATGTAAACAGATGTATCCACAAGGTAGGATGTCCCACCACTTCAGTGAAATGCGCGAAGGTGATTACTTGGCCGTGAAGGGGCCTAAGGTAAAGCTATTTCCTTTCCTCGGCTGCCTTTCTTTGCCTCAGGATTTTCCACATTTCCCAGCTATTTTATGAGATCAATTTGGTATTTTTTTAGGTGATTTTGATTTCTTTTACTCTAGAAAGTTTGATTTTCCATTTTGAGGAGCAACATTTATATGGACCATTGCTACGAAAGTTTGATTTTCCATTTTGAGGAGCAATATTTATATGGTTCCTACCATTGCTAAATATGGACCATTGCTACGCGTAAATGGTTAGGTTTCTTGACAACCGATTTACTATAAACCTTGTCAGTTATCAGAGCCCGCATCACACCTTACTTGCTATCTGAAACTTTATAACAAAAGGTTGGTAATAGATGTATTTATATGATTTTTCTAGGGGCGTTTCAAGTATCAACCTAACCAAGTGAGAGCATTTGGAATGATTGCTGGGGGCACTGGAATTACTCCCATGTTCCAGGTATATATTTTTAAAACAATCTCTTTATTTTGCAGCTGGCCAAAATTATCAGTTTGATTTATTGATTACTTATCTCTCTTCTTTTGGCTTCTTAGGTAACTAGAGCCATATTAGAAAACCCAGATGACAAAACGAAAATACATCTTATTTATGCCAATGTCACATATGAGGACATTCTTTTGAAGGGAAATCTCTCTCTCTCTCTCTCTCTCTCATTTCTTTGTTGGATGTATTAAATAAGCATAATCCACTTTGTTTGCTTGTTTGCAGGAAGAGATTGATAATCTGGCAATCATTTTTTCTAACCAATTTAACGTCTACTATGTTCTGAATCAGGTGTTATTTATTTCTTTTTCTTTCCAGCTATTAATTTTGTCTCTCGCAATCTCTCAGTTTTTTACTTCCTATCTTTTCAAGTCGTGTCTCTTCATAGATTCCAAGTTATTTATTGAAAAGCTTGCTTTTCTGTTATCTTCGCTGAGTTGAAGAATGAAATTTGTTTTCCGCACCTCGTTAGAAAGATGCATATCTCGATAAGACTGCTAATAAAACAAAACTAATACTGCAAGTGGCAATTTAGCTGCTGTAAGCTTTTTATGTGGGCATTAGAAAAGGAAGCCAATTATTAATGTGGTTTTCTTGATGCTTCAATGGTTGATGCATTCCTTATCAATGTGAAGAGTTTTCTAAATCTCCTAAATTCATGATTTGCTGGTTTCATGAAGCTAACTTCTGATGCTTCTGTATATTTATGTCAAATTTCATGTTCAGCCTCCAGAAGGATGGGAGGGTGGCATGGGGTTCATATCCAAGGAAATGATTCAATCCCACTGCCCGCCACCTGCACTTGATGTTCAGGTATCCTCTCCCCCTCTCCCTCCCTGCTCTCCGTCTTCCCTGACATTGACAACCAATAACCTTCTTATTGCAGATTTTGAGGTGTGGACCTCCACCAATGAACAAGGCCATGGCAGCCCACCTTAATGATCTTGGATATACTGCTCAAATGCAGTTCCAGTTTTGAGCCCGTCATGAAGATTCTTTCCCCCTTTCCCCTTTGGCTAATCAATCTCCAAGAAGAGGATGCATTAATTAATTTAGCTCTGTTACATTTCATGGGAAACTGGTTAGCTGACATTCTTCACATAAGTTGAAGAGATCTATATTGATCATTTTCTGCTTAAAATTTCATCTGAATTTCGCATCGAATGTACTCTAAATTTACAGTAGTTTTCCTTTTTACAATTGAAATCACTCGTTAATACACATGGACTGGACTGTTGGATATGTGATACTATAACCCGTTTTATGAGCGTGATTGTAGTTTTTTTTAATATGTTTTTCATTTAAAAATATATTAAAATAATATATTTTTTATTTTTTAAAATTATTTTTGAAATCAATACATTGGTTTTCCTTTTTACAATTGAAATCACTCGTTAATACACATGGACTGGACTGTTGGATATGTGATACTATAACCCGTTTCATGGACTGGACTGTTGGATATGTGATACTATAACCCGTTTTATGAGCGTGATTGTAGTTTTTTTTAATATGTTTTTCATTTAAAAATATATTAAAATAATATATTTTTTATTTTTTAAAATTATTTTTGAAATCAATATATTAAAATCATTTAAAAATAAAAAAAATTAATTTAAAAAAATAAAAAAACTTTAAATTTTTTCAAAATTATTTTTAAAACATAAAAACAAATCACGAGTAGAAGAGATGTTGCCTCCTTGACATGCTGTGTAATTGCATCTTTAGTCATGCCATGAATCTCCTGATTTGAAGCATGGTCCTAAGCTTTTTCAACTAAGCTGCTGTGAACAAAATCAAACAAAATCATCCTCGTTTTCTTGTAATCAAGTCAACTATCCTGTCTCCTCTCAAAATTACCGCCACCTCATCCATGAGGGACTTGTCCAGCTAGGGGATATGCTGACAGAAAGGAATGAGTTAGCGGTCCAATTGGCCGCTCATTCCAGGCCTGATTAGCTTTTTAGTTTTTACAGAAAAAAAAGATTGATTATTTTTCCCATATTATTCTGATTATTTTTTGTTTTATATATATTTAATTTCTCGTTTTTTGGGTTTTATGAAAAATTCTTGATTATAACAATTCACTTTCTGTCTTTGTTTTTCAATACACTATCAATCTTGACCTTTTGTTCTTTTTTTATACTCTTTAAGAACACAATAGTATACAAATAGTTAGGATAGCTATTATTATTATTATTATTATTATTATATTTATTTCTATTTTCAAGATTCAAATTAAGTCTTATGCTCAGAGATTTACCATTTAAATATATATGATACACCTTTTCTTATATTTATAAATCATAAATAATTCTTATATTAAAAAAAAACTAGACAGGTATTAACAAATTTATTTCAAAAGATAAATTAAAAGAAAATCTCATATTCATTCCCCATCCCAAAAACAAAATGGGCCGGCATCTGGATTTCTTTATTATATCTTAATTTGCTTTTATTAACAAGCACATACACCCAATAAATAAAACATATATACTCGGTAAAAGACCCCAATCGCGGGTTTATGGGATCAAATCACATGGTATTTTGTATTTTTTTAATTCCCTTTCAGACAGATTAAGAAATCAAATATTTGTAACAATCTATCATTTATTAGACATTCGACCAAATCAAACTAGTGACTACAAAAACAATAACATTGTAATGTTCATCGATTGTTATTATCTATATCCTGCTGTCTACGTGCATGGTTGCCTCTCTGTTGGTTTCTCCTCTCTCTGTTTCTGCATATATAAATCTTCCGAAACCTAAGCACATCATCGATCACAAATACCATATCCGACGTCTTTAGTAGCTCTAACCTCTTCACGTCAAGTTCTTCATCATGGCCTCAGCTTCTTCCACCTTCAAATTCCTATCACTGCTAGCAGCCTTATTTGCTGTTGTTGAAATGGCAATCTCTGGAGACCCGGATATTCTTTCTGATTTCGTAGCCCCACTAAACTTAACCACAGTTGATGGAACATTCTTTACGTTCACTGGCATGCGTGCCCTTGTTGGTGCACCACCGGCTTCAGCCTTCAAGGTCTCCAAAGCAAGCGCAGCTGAATTCCCGGCTCTTATCGGTCAAAGTGTTTCGTATGCAGTCCTTCAATTCCCGGCCGGCACTACTAATCCGCCTCACACCCATCCTCGCTCAGCTGAGCTTCTCTTCCTTGTTGATGGTTCTCTTCAAGTAGGCTTCGTTGACACGACCAACAACCTCTTCACCCAGACACTACAGTCTGGTGACATGTTCATCTTCCCCAAGGGTCTTGTCCACTTCCAATACAACGCGGATTCTCAGAATTCAGCTCTCGCAATCTCTGCTTTCGGAAGTGCTAGTGCAGGGACCGTATCACTTCCTACCACCCTTTTCGCCACCAGCATTGACGATAACATCTTGGCCAAGGCCTTCAAGACTGATGTTGCCACCGTTCAAGCTCTCAAGGCTGGTCTTAAGCCTTGAGGATGGGCTCCATTACCGTTCTTTACTTGTTATTCCTCTTATGTTTTACTTTCCTCCTACTCTCTCTTTGAATCTTCTGATGATTTGTATTGAATAATCGCCCCCAATAGTCTAACAGGCCGTTGGATATATTGTTCGTTTGTTCTTTGCTCAATCACATTGCTAGCGTCTCAATTTCTTGTTTCATAATAATAATTATATTCCATCACTCATGTTTTGAGTCTTCATCGGAAATGTAATGTTCGTATCTTGTGTTTTGTTAAATTTCCCATGCGAGAAGTGAAGGATATTTTACTGCAAGCTTTAGCTGAGAACCAAACTGAATTTGCAATTTGTAAAACAGCAGTCTTTCACACTTGCTTTGCTATATGGAAGTTATGTTCTTTTCTCCGTTCATCTTTCTCTCCTCCTTCTTCAGCCCCATTGTTATTCATAAAGAAAAAAGCCCAAATCATGATGTACAAGAAGCCCAGCACAGACTCCTACCTATTGAATCCCTCAAACTGGACAGGCCTGCCTCTGCCTCTTTGTTAATTCCCTCCCTGCTGTATAAAAAGCATCCCTGCACTTCCCATGCCATGCATCCTTTCACTCTCTTTTCTCAAAGATAAATCACCCTCTCTCTCTCAATCCTGAGACTTCACAAGAAAACCACCCTGCAAATACCTGCCAAAACAAATTAACCAGCTTCCTCATCATCAAGAAAATCTCCCTAAAATTCTTAACCCGATTCAAGAATCTCTGGAGTTAAACCCGTTCAAGAACAAGATCAAACCAAAGTGAGCTTCATCCAGATGGGTTCAACTTCAATACCCAGCGAATCCAGCTGCGTACAAGATCTTGAAAGAGATTGATGGTGCCGCTAGGGCCACAGTTCCCAAAGCAACATGTTTCCTCAACGACGTCTGGCAGTCAAGTGTTGCAGGAGAGATGTTCATAGAACCAGCCTGGAAGTAATCCAGGAATGCTATAGTGGAAAAGTTGTCTAACCTAGCAAGGATAGACTGTCAAATGCAATGGTGAAATGAAGAAGAAGCAATGGGAACCAACAGATGATTCCTCAAAGCAATGGTGAAATGAAGAAGAAGCAATGGGAACCAACAGATTATTCCTCAAACATTCATCATAATTTGTTGCATAAGATGCCAAAGCCTGTTAAAGTCCTATATATAAACTACTCCTAATCTAAACACCCTCCTGAGCTTAAGGAAATTGCAACATGTGGACATCTTATAACAAACGAAAGATTAAAAGAAACTGGAATAAAACGGTGCGTAAAATAAGAGGTGAAACGGTGCGTTGAGTGTGTCGGTCACTTGTCATTTAAATTTTAAATTCTTGAAACCCTGACACAATTCTTCTCCCTTCTTCATAGTTTAGATACCTGACAACTGCCTAATTCCAGAAATGCTTGTGACATTGATTAAGCGTGGTTGCAATCAAACTCATTGATCTTCTCCAACTGCTTTTGATAGTCTCAGATGTGACACCATGACCATGCCACTTCATTCACACCTTAATGCTATTGCTTCCCATTGTTCTTTCGTTGTTGGTCACCGTTTTTGGGTGGTTATGCCTTGCATGGCTGCTGGTTGACCCGGAATTCTGTATTGAGTCAAAAGATGATGCAGCTGTGAAAATTCTGTGTGTTGGAGGCGAAACCATCAAAAATCCAAGCACCAACGTGGGGTTCAGCCTTTCTGATGCTGTAGTGTATTTGAGCAGATGCCGTTACTTTATGCTTTTGGTAGAAGCCAATGATCATATTAACTACAACAGTATTCACGTTTTCTGAGGTTAGTTTTACTAAATCATACGGTGTACCAGTTTTCGTAGTTTCTATACCCGACGCGACTTGGCCGGGTAATTTTCAAGACTAATTTTTATTTAATTATAAAACAATAAAAATAATTATTCGTAAGGGTTTCAAAGATATATATTCTAACACAGAGAAAGCATTTCTTAAGCAAATTCCCGGCTAATTATTTATATTAATCTTTTGACAAAAAATATCTTCAGCTATTTATAACATCGTTTTAATTAAAAAAAAACCAAGGTACTTGAAATAAATATTCTATTTTCTTTGATATTATAAAATTATTTCCATATGATACGTCTAACTATCCGTGCCTAGAATACTTCCACCAGAAGTAATGCGTCTAACTATCCGTGCCTAGAATACTTCCAGAAGTAATGAATTATGAGATCATTATTTTCTGAATACTCCTATTTAAATTATAAGTACCGAAAAATACAAAGATTTTGATCATAATATTTAAAATACAGTAAAATACAAGAAGATGGAATGATAATACAAGTACAAAAATGCAACAAAGAGCGAGTTCTATTGCCTTTTACTATTTCCTCCGCAAGAAAGGAAACAAAAATACAAAATATCTCTCCTGCAGACAAATGGGGAGGGCAAGAAACAAAAGTAAGCTGCAGCCATAATCCAGAAAGTAGCTACCAATCAGTGAACTGATCAACTTTCAAATAGAAAAGCCACGCAGATTCAAAATACTAAACGTTCAGATTGATCATTTCAGTCCCATTGATAAATACATTGAAAACCCCATCATAAACTAAAATCAAGAGAACAAAAATTGCAATTCGGTGAGCTCATCGTCTTCGCATCCCTCGTCCACGACCACGGAAACCACCTCCTCCGCGTCCACCCATAGCACCTGCAGCTGCTTCTCCCTGAGCGCTCTCAGACTGCAACATCAACAAGCAGCTTAAAAACAGAAGTGCATGAATAGAGGCCCGTGTTATTTTTTTGTGAGCAAAAAAGGGGGTTAATTTCAGCTTTAATTTAACTAGGCAGAGGCTCTCATATAGGACGACAAAAACCATTATAATCTGATAGAAAATTAACACAAACATTTAAAACATTTTTTTCTACAGACAAAGGTACCTTAATATGTGTATAATGTGGTAGCATATTTCACTAGCGCGTTGGATAACATTTGAGAGTGACAAAGGTACCTTGATATGTACTATGGTGTAGCAAATCTCACTCTTACACTTAATAATTACAGTACACATGTTAGCTAATGCCAAGTGGGGCAGCTTATTATCCCAAGGAGCAAACCCCACGACCCGAGGATCTCAGGATAATATTTCATTCCTAACCAACACAAGGCAGCATTAACATTACCTTGGGATTCTTTACTGTCTCGTCCACACTTAAGATCAGACAAGCAGCCTCAGTAGCAGCATTGATAGCATTGATCTGGGTCAAGGATTTCAATCACATAGGGGTCAACAACCAGAAATGGAAAAAAAGAAGAAAGGCAATTCATTCATAATCAAATAAAAGAAGATATAGACACCTTTACAACTGCTGGCTCCCAAACAAAGTTTGAAAATGAATCTGCAATTCCACCGGTGTTGATATCCACTCCATATGGAGCACCCTCACCTATTAAAAAAGTTTACTACTTTTAAATGACAAAAACTGTAAATGAGAAAAAGATCTGCTACACAAAGTTATTGACATAAAGCCCTTTTACTAGCAAGAAGGTAGTTTATCAACAGCGAAACCTACTAAAAGTATTCAAGCAAGGCCACACAGAGAATGTTTCAAAAGGCAATTACAATAAGTAAAAATGAACACCTACCAGATGGAAGTGCATGTTTCTGTCTTAATTTGTTCAGCACATCAGTTGCATCGAACCCAGCATTATCACATAGTTGTCGTGGGATAACCTGCAGCAAGAATGTAGAATACCTTACTTGGTTTGTAGTCAAAGGGGAGCTCACTCGATTTAAAATGGGTACGACTTGTAATTCACTTCTGACTCCGTGTTTCAATCTAAAGTGTTTAGGATAAATCATCACTGACAAAACAGCTCCAAGATCTCATTTTGTTACCAGGGAGTGCGAGAGACTAGCTAGCTCTTGCACAAATTCAGCTTTAGGTGGGGCATTATAGAAATAAGGCTACATGAAATGCTCAAGATTGGAAGTTGAAATCATCAGGTACGTTTTTTGAGTTCCTTAGTAATTGAGCAGAATGGCCTCATTGGATAGGGAGTAAAAAATTATGGGAACGCATTAAGATGTGGATTTTCACCAATAAGACATGACAAGTAAAATTTATAACAGCATAATCTTCAAAGATTTTGATATAAACTATGACAAGCTCAAAATTAATTACCTAGTCAAGCAAGATCCATAAGATCACAATATCAGTGGTCATTTTCACAGTTTCTAAACCACATACATGAAGGTAGTCCATGCCACAATAAAACATATCAGACTACTAACTAATTACCTCGAGGGCTTTTGCATAAGAGTTGATAAACAGCTGAGACTTCCCAGCTATTGTGCGAGCATGCTGCCTCAAGTACCGACTTATTTCCATCTGCCAAGCAAACCACTTGTTTGGTCACTATTGCCCAAAATGCGTTCAGATATAAATAATCATGATGCATCACATGTAACAGGATTTCATACATCTATAGCACCACCACCAGCAACTACAGTTGAGTTCTTCATAGCTCTTCTAACTATCATGATTGCATCATGTAGACTCCGTTCAGCCTCTTCAATGAACTGATAATGATAGTATATGGAAAATCCAAAGTTAGAATAAACCAATGCAGAACAGTTTGCCACAGCGTCAACAGTGACCTACCTGATCTGCCCCACCACGAAGAACAATAGTGGCTGTAGTACCAGAAGGGCATCCATTGAAAATATTAAACCTCTCATTTCCAACTTGCTTTTCCTCGAATATCTCACAAGTCCCAAGAACCTTTTGGCCAAACAACAGACAAGAATGAAAATTGAGAATAAAGAAGAAGAGAAAATGTTAACAAGCATATAATGTAACAATCAAAACTTTGAATATGTTTTTTCAAGTTAATGCTAGACCTCATCAATTACGTTGTTGATAGTTGTTTGTACAGTTCCACCAGTTGCAGCAGCAACTCTTTGCAGATCTTCTTCAGTTACACGACCAGCACAGAAAATATCTCGATCAGCAAAATACTGTTACAACAGAGGACATAATTAATATGCCACTAATAATCCAAAAGAGACAGAAAAGAAAAGTTTTCAGCAAGGCTGATAGCCATAAAGCTAAATAAGTCAAGACTTCCTTCAAAATTCCACATGACGAACTACCTGATCAACATCATAAAAAAGGAGTATATTGCAAAGAGGAAAGAAGACTAACATATAAAATCTTACAGAACTTTCTGGCAAATGTTTGTGAAAATGTAAAAGAATTCTTGAAGAGATAATCCACTATTTATTGGTAGCTACACCAATCCTGTTAGAATAAAAAGAAAACAAGCATGCAATATTTGTGGAGACTAGGTACTCCTGCAGCTAAATCTAATTATAAAAAATACAGACAAATTGAAGAACAATTTTATGAGCAGAAAGACCAAAAAAAGGCTCCTACAAGAATAACCGCCACCTGAACAATTAACCAAAAAATCTCAAAGAAGATGTACATGCCATGCATTTTCAGAATAGAATCAGAAGTTCAGAACCTTGAAAATGGATCGGAGCATTTAGGATACAAAGGACACCCACCTGTGTTGCAAGATCACCAATTGCAAGGCGCGAAAGAACAATTTTTGCCCCACTCTGTGCACATTTATCCAACTTATCATATATTATATTCCATTCTGCATCAACAATGGACTGGTACTGAGATGGATCTGACAGCCTGAAGCGTGTGAAAAGTAGCAGGGGGTAATCAGCTTTTAAAAGAAATATCAACAACAACAGCCTCATAGTTGGGGAGTTCTCATAATGAATGTATCATAAGATAAAAAAGGATCCCACCTTATCTCTGCATTTTCTTTCTCAGATTTCAGCTCCAACTCAATGTTGAGTAAGAGTATCTTAGGATTTACAAACTTCTTTGGTTGTTGTTCAAACCCCGCATAAGAAAACGTCTTTTTAAAGGCAACACCATTCACCAGAAATGAATCTCGCATATTACCACCTGGGACCTATGGAGGCAAACACCCATGCACTCAAGGAAATCAAGATTTATCATAGCATACTAATGTGAGGAAAATATTTCAAACCAACACCAGTCATCCATCCAAAAGAATAGTGAAAAAGTTGATATGTGAGAAGATAAGTGGGGAGAGTGAGGGGAGATCAATGACACAGGAATGCCTAGTAGCCAAAAGGCACAACTTAAGAAAAAAACAGAACAAATAAATTGCCAAACTTCTTGGACAGAACTCAGAAAAATTTTACTTAAAAACAAGTAACAAAAGACATGCATCAATTCTGAAGCATCACATGTAAGCTACTATACACTGTGATAAGCAACTCTATGAGGGAACAGAATTCAGAATCACTCCTGTGACTAAAAAAAAAAAAAAAAGACAGTTCCACAACATGCAACCATATGATAACTGGTTGATTGAGTCTTCCAAGAAGCTGAGCAATGGAGGATTTAAGCAATAAAATCCAACCTACATCACAAAACTCAGCCAAGATCTAGAGCTTGTCATTAAGAAGAATAGCCATCTCTACAATAGTGAAATAAACAAAAGAAGTTGCGCTAACTGAAGCATAACAATTGCATTAAATCAGCCGGATTCCGATCAGAGAGATGAGGCAAGCAACTAGAAATTTCATTCAACAAAAGGCTAGCTTTGGGCCCTGGTGGCGTCCATGTGATGAGAGATTAGGAACTTATCAACCTAAAGTTGTTGTGACGCCACCAGCTTGGCACAACACAATAATATGAATGAATTTCTGAGATGATGAACAAAATCCAAGTGCAAGTTCAGAATCTCTTGCTGCCTTGACAATTTATACACCACGTGATTATCGATTCTACAAATTGCTCTCATTGTAAAATGTGCTCAGCATTTCAAAATCAAACCCACATGATTTCCCAAATTCTATGTTTTTCAGCTATTTATAAAACTGTCAATTACCGCAAAATAACTTGAAGAATAAGACAACAAAACATAGGAAGAAAAGCTATGAAAGCATATACATTTACCTTCTTTATTCCAATCATATTTAGCCTATCATCATTCCCAATCGCAATCACAGCATCCACAACCATTGATGCAAAGAACTCCTTCTCACCACCAATAAGTTTTGACGATAATGTTGTAGCAGCACATTTAGCCAATAAGCTCTTCTTCTCTTCTAGACTTTTTCCTTCTATACTGGAGGCTAGTTCTTTGACCTTCTCAATTGCCTATAACATCATTTTCAATATTTAAGATGCCAGAAAACAAGTCCCAACATGTCAACCGCAGATATAACAATCACGTACCAAATTGCATGCAGTTCGATAACTCCGTATTAAATTTTGTGGGTGGACCCCGTCCTCTACAAAAGGTTTAGCCTCTTTCAAAAACTCCCCCGCAAGTAGAACTACGGTAGTAGTACCATCACCAACCTGTAGCACAACAAGAGAAATGGTTTAACTTTTATCTTCAACAATAAACAGCCCATGTATTTTTTTTTCAATACAATCCTCTAGGAGTTTAAAAAAGGTATCCATCCATATAATAACAAACAATGTCGGAAAAATCTTCCTCCCATTAGCAAACACAATAAATTTCAAAATCAACCTCTCTACGCCCCTCCTGAACCTTCACAACTTCTCATCCTTTGCAAAACAGTTAAGCCACTCTAATTCTCCAAGAACATACTCTCCCCCTGGCCGAAAACACCAGTAGCCTCATCCCAATATATATTCGAGTATCACATTTGCTTGAAAATTCACATTAACAATCAATTCAAACCGACATGAAGAAAAAACACAAGCACAACATTTCGCATCTCCACTGTCAAAAGAAAACAATAGCAGAAATTTAAAAAAATAATCAACAAAATTATAGATATATATTAATTAATGACCTCAGAATCCTGAGACTTTGCGATATCAACAAGGATCTTGGCGGCAGGATGAATTATATCGAGCAATTTCATAATAGTAGCGCCATCATTAGAGATGGTGACGTTTCCCTTATCGTCATGGATCAATTTATCCATACCACGAGGTCCTAACGTCGTCCTCACCACATCCGCCACCGCCGTGCACGCGTTTATGTTGCTTAGTAACTGCGCTTTGCCTTGCGACGTGTCAGTTCCTTCTTTCAGTAGTATGATCTGCGGTTGCTGCTCTCGTTTCAACACACAAACAGAGTCGGTGAGTTAGTTAGTAAGTTAGTTACCGATTGGATGCGAAGAAAGAGAGAGTTCGTTCTATGTTCGTCTGTCGTTCATTTTGGGATTTTTATTTTATTTTAAAACAGTTTTGGGCAATTACTTTGTTATCCCCAATGTGTTATCTGATTCTCAATCCCGTCCAGAAAAAATAGTTTATCAGTTCTTTCTCTATTTAATTTTTTAATTCACGAGAAACATGTCTAGACGTGGTATTGTTAGAGAGTGTAATTGAGTTATTTTTTAAAGTGTAGTTATCCCCAATGTGTTATCTGATTCTCAATCCCGTCCAGAAAAAATAGTTTATCAGTTCTTTCTCTATATAAATTTTTTATTCACGAGAAATTGTTGGAGAGCGTAATTTAATTATTTTTTAAAGCGATATTAAAAATATATTAATTTAAAATACAAAAATAAATTTTTTAAAAAACATTTTTGAAACCGAAAAACAAATAAATTTTACTATTATTTAAATCTTGTTTGTTATCATTTATTTTTTGTGAAAATTCTAATCAAAATGCTGCCATTGTTTTTTAATAAGATGATAGAAAATGTTAAGAGTGAACATGTATTCAAATAATTTGGTTTAAACAAAAGTTGCAAGCAAGCTTATTTATTTTTTGAAATTTTAAATCCAACACAATGAAATGAATAAACCAGGTGAGCAAACTAAATCTATTAGTTTTGATCTTACATTTGTTAAAACCGAATGTGTCCAATTTATTTTTTAAATTAAACTATTATTGACAGGTTTTTATTTATTTATTTTTTCAATTTAGTTCACATTAATTTTTTTTTATTTTTAGAATTTGAATCCAAACTCGACCAATCAGTTTTTTTAAAAAAAATTCTCACCGGAAATATCTTATAAATTTGAAGAACCAATAAATCAAAAAAAAATTTAAAATCTAATTGATATCATCTTTTTTTTAATGTAATTTAAATTATCTGAAAATATAAAGAAAAACATTTTTTTCTTGTTAATTCGAGTAAGTTTTTAAAGATATTCTAGGTAAACCAGATAATTCATTCACCCTTGTAAAATATTAGTAATTACTAATGATACAAAAACTCAGCGAGGAACGTTGAATGTTTTAGGGACTTAATCAAGAATTGGTGGATAGATTAAGATCCAGTATAGAAAGAAAAAATGAATTTTAAATTGGAAAAAAGAAATGAAAAAGGGAAGTCGTAACATTTTCAAATCTTATAAAAAATCTTATTTCAAATCCAGTATAGGACAAGGGATCCCAGCCTCATTCAACCTAATCTATCTTTCCTGCAAGGCCTTATGGGCTTTAGGCCCAAGATTCCCTCGCGTGAGAAACATCTTCACCCTTCAATTTTGCTGATGAGACTAGCTTGGTACAACACGTTTTCAAGAGAGTAGATCACCATTCCAAGACTAAAATAGGACAAAAAGTTAATTTATTTATAAGACTAAGTGACAAAAAAAAAAAACATATGTGAAACTCGAAAAAGAATAATCTGTCCCTTAATTTCACTTTCAGGGATTTTATTTTTATTCTGGTAGTAAATCTCGAAAGAAAAAAAGAAAAAATTTGAAAAAGAAACAGCATACCAGAACGATAATGTTCCCAGAACACTAGGCAATATTATTTTCTCAGTTAAGTAGTCAGTATTCAAAAAACGAATTAAGATTTTTCACATCAATGCCATGGTGGAAGGAGCGTTGATGCAAGCCCTCCATAGTCCATGTTCCATACTCCAAAACTGGAACCAAGCATCACTTGCTTTCACACAAGTCGATGACAAAATTTTAATGTCCAGACATCTGCATTTAATTTTACAGAGTCATCTTCGTCTACACTAAGAAAAGGGAGGGACCCCTTGCTGTTCATTCCATTATATTTCTTGACATGGTAACTGTTGTTACAGCGGACGAACCTATCTCTCTCTTCCTCTCTCTGTCTCTATCTCAGACACACATTAATATCAAGAAATGAATGATTGAATCCAGAAAGATACAGAAGAATTCCAGATCATTCTTGCATGAACAGGAACTCAGGTGAGGGACAAAATTATCTGGGCAAGCGTGTGACTAGATACCGGCCCTTTTCGAGGTCATAAATTGTTTTTAACTGTGGTTTTCGCAATTGCAATACAAAAAATGCAGCGAGCAAAGCTATTAAAAGAACAGCAAATAATGAGAAATACGTCACTGACTCATCTCCAACAATCTCATCAGGGTTATTGATTTCCGATTCTAGGGGCTCCAGCATTGATTGAAAGATGAAAGCACCAAGAGTCCAGTCAAAAGGAACGCTTCCAGTATGATTTGCAAATCCAATCCTGCCAAAAAAAACGAGGTTGATATTTTGATTCAAGTATAAAAAAAAATTGTTCTTATGCCAATAATTTATTAGTGACGATTTTTTTCTACGCTAGATATCAAATATAGCATGCTGAAGAAAAACTGTTCTCTCAAAGGCGGTAAAACTCAAACATTTTGAAACATTTATGCGTCCACACAAACATGTATGCTCATGCGAGCACATACAACTGCACATTCACCGTTTACACATTAAGACATCAGAAGACCAGTTTACTAATTCAAACCGAGACACGTCATTTGCAACTCAAATGAAAAGTTTGGCTAAATCAATTGCCCAGTCTCTCCAAGATTGACCGGTAATAGTCGAGTGCATGCGGTTTTGACCTGAAACTTTTACCATGTGCAACTTATTCCCATTTTCAACTTGTGATGGTTTTCCCACGGATTAGAGAAGCAGGTTGCTATATTAAACAAGGCTGCAAATATCTCCAACCAACAACTGAGGCCAGGATGAATTAGATGCGAGTTTTGCAAAAGAATACAAGGAGAAGATTGACATAGGTGCAAGGAGAGCAATGGTACCTTTTATCATTCATTGATATTCCAAGGCTGTCATGCAGCAGTGCCACTGTGTAGGCAGAAGAGAAACAATATCTCAACAAATCCAAATCATCGATGCCATTATGCTGGTCTTTCAGTTTATCCCAGTCATCTTCACAGTAGTGTTTCCCAGCTGCCTCTAATTCAAACAAAGAAACCCTAGGAACCAGCCCAAAAAACTGTACAAGGTTTAGTACTTACAGGCAAGAAAAGGTAACAATTAGAGAAAAAAATTGTTGGACGTCTGCAATGTGTTAGGTATAGCACTACTATGATGAAGCAGGTCATAACAGTTACAATCTGTTCACCCTCCTACCATTTTTGCAAGTGAAAACTAGAGAGAAATAGATAGAGCACAAACACGGATACAAGAACAGGATAATATAGGTACATTTTTTACACATACAAGAATGTACACATATGATATGCGTTTCAAATTATGTAGCAAAAGAGTTGCCCTTAATTTCAAGTCATGTCATTATTCACAAACCTCAGAAGCAAAGAACAAGTTGTCTTGAGAAACAGGCTTGCCTTGTAGCCTCGTGGAAAAAGGGGAGTCGGTGTTGCAAGGTAGACGCAAGCATTTCTCTGCATAAAAGAATGAAATTGAAAAAAGAATTAATACCAAGGTTTTTATTTTTTTTTCTTTTAGATTAAAAAAAATCAATAGGCTCTTGAATTCATCAAACAATTTATCCAAGGAAAAGATCAGCTGACAATTAATAACTCTATTAGAAGATAAATGCCTGCAGCAATGACAAATCTGCATGGTTGAGAGAGTACAGAGAACAGATAGAAGACAAACTGAACATGTGTAGTTTACATGCACTTTTAGTATTATTTTGATACCAGCTAACAAGAGCATCGCTTAGAAGCTCAATACTTGAAGTATGTAGAAATCTTTTGTTTACTAGAATACAAAAGGAAGCTTCAGTTTTTCTTGGTATCCAGGTGATTAAGTCAGAGGTTTAGAATAGCTGAACCAGTTAGGGGCTTAGAACAATGTAATGGGATGTTGAGTAGTTCAATTTTGAAGCATATTTTGACTACCAAGTAAACTCGGCCTGCAAGTTTGCTTGGCCAATTAGTCTGAAAATCCATTCAAGAACAGCAGAGATTATTTTCATCTTTACTGTTCCATATTTGCAATAATACTAAACATAGGCTACACACAAGTTCTATATTTCTCTCCTATAAATTCCAAATCCAAAACGCTCAAGTAAATGGAAGACTTTCTCTTCAAGAATCGTTATAGAGCACAGGTCAAATAGAGTGCAAAAAAATACAATTGAATCATACAAGCATCACAAAACCCCGTCAAGACGAAAGAGCAGAAGATACCTTGTCTGTTCTTCAACAATGCCCGAACTTCAAGTCTGCATGCAGTAAAGTTTCCAGTTCCATGAGACATCAGAAGTTTTGAGCCACTTATATTGGATGCCAGCTCATATCCTTGGGGAATGCAAGGGTTACCAACAAAACCCTCCCTATATATTGATGCTGCACAATAAATATAATGGTACTTGCTATGATTGGTGATCCAAGTGAATTTTTCAACTCTGAAATTAGAACATCAATCATGCATGCAATAAATGTTTGTCACTAGAACGAGGACTCATACGGGTAATATATCACCACCATGAGTGAAATATACAAAATGTGGCCACATAATTTAAGGTAAATTCTTTCCTCTTTAACGTTAATTAGAGATGTAGTGTTCACAATTCACAACCATAAATTTTGCAGCCACACCTTTCTTTGAACAGAGTTACAGATTTGAAAATATGTCCATAACCACAATTAGGGGTGTTAAAAAAAAAACCAAACAACTGAGAAAACTGGAAAAAAAATTTAACCAAAAATACCAAACCAAGAAAAAAAACCCAAAAAATTTCCAGTTCGGTTCAGGGTTGGGCTCAAACTTCTGAACTGTACAAATCAAATCGAACCAGTTCAGTTTGTAGCTCAAACCAAGCCACCCAGGGTATAAAAGGCTTATTTTCTCTGAAACCCTAATTCACTCATTTCCTTTCCTCCTGCATCCACCCTCACCTTCCTCTCTCTCTCTCTCTCTCAACAGTTTGCTCTCCTC